CCGGCGCCCCCCCCCGCCCGCCCCCGCCTCTCTGCGGGAGAGGCTCTTTCCCGGCTCCTCCGACCCTCTCCCCCCAGCACGGCGGAGCTGCCCCAGGGTCGGGCCGGGGCTCTCTGCTGGTGCTGCCTGGCCGGGGCAGCAGCCTCTCATTGCTCCGCTCCTCTGCTGCAGGCCCGCCCGGGAGCCACGATGCCTTTCCCCAACTCCAGCGCGGATGATGCCTTCGACTACCTGTTCAAGATCATCCTGATCGGGGACTCCAACGTGGGGAAGACCTGCGTGGTGCATCGCTTCAAGACGGGGCAGTACAACGAGAAGCAGCAGAACACCATCGGGGTTGACTTCACCGTGCGCTCGCTGGACATCGATGGCAAGAAAGTGAAGGTTAGCTGTGGGAAGGGGCCCAGCTGTGCTTTGCTGCCACAACACTGGCATGGCCCTTCCCATCTGAAGGGAGTAGCAGGAAGCACAGTGTCTCCCCCTCAGCCTGGGCAAAGGGAACAGACCAAATCTGCCTGCCCTCCTGCTTGGGAGGCTCACTGAAGGGACACTTTCCTCAGAAGGATGCCCTGGGGGAGGCTCGATTTGGGTGCATACTTGTTTTCATAGCTGTTCTGGCCTAACCTGTTGAGAGAGCTTGTACCTCACCTGTGTGGAGCTCTTTGAAAGCTGGCTTTCCCTTGGAAGGGGGGGGGGTGTCTCTTTCCTCTTTCAGAGATGTGGGAGCTGAATCTGGGGAACTAAATAGGAAAAAATAGAGAGCTTTCCATTCAGAGGCTCTGCTCTGATGAGTGCCTTGACCTATGGGAGGATAAAGACTTACAGCATGGACACCAGAAGAAAATGCTAGCTAGAATTTATCTCTGTATGCAGATGAAAGTTCAGATGGCCTGTTCCGTAGTCCCTTATGTAGCCATGTCCTTCCCTCTGCCCAGCACTGCAACAGGGCTTGTCTACCCTTTTTCGTTTCCTGTTAAAAGGCTGTAACGCTCTATATCTCCTCCTTAGCATGATTACTCAAATTAGCTTTCTTGGCCTGTTTGCCAAATCTGGATTTACTCTTTAGCTTGCTCTTTTGTCTATGTAGATTGCATAAACGTGTATATAGATATATAAAGGTGTCTTTAGATCTGGACAAGGCAAAGTCATGCTGAGGTGTGGAGTGGGCTGGGACAAGCCTAGCTGTACTGTAGACTAGGGCCAGTGGTTTCAGAAACCATAGTTCTTGATGGCAAACACCTAGGAAGCAGCGTGCACAAGTCTTCACAACTTCCATCCTTTCTTTTACAGATCCAAGTGTGGGACACAGCCGGCCAAGAACGCTTTCGGACAATAACCCAGTCTTATTACAGGAGTGCTCATGGGGCCATCCTTGCCTATGACCTTACTAGGAGGTCCACGTTTGAATCCATTCCTCACTGGATTCATGAAATTGAAAAGTATGGTGCTGCAAACTTGGTCATGATGTTAATTGGTAGGAATCTAACTTTAAATATTCTGATGTGTGGCCTTTTCTAAATACATATACCTATAAAATTCCTCTCATTCCCCCCCTCCCCCCGCGCACACACACCTTAAAGCATCTACAAACTATGCACTGAAGAACACAATTTTAATTATAAGAGATCAGAATATGTAGCAATTTGACCTAAACTTAAAAAGGGGGAAAGTCACAGCCTCATCCTGGCAGGACCAAGCCAAAATGGTGATTTAGGGGGTTGTTTGTTACACACCTTAAGAACTTCTTACTTGTTCCTGTTAAGCTGGAATAACGTAACAAAGTTGTAATCTAACAAATCTACTGAGGTTAGATTTGCAGTAAGCAAGTCTGACCCTATACTCCTGTTTTGCAGGAGGAATGTAAAAGGTTGAGAATTCAAGGTGAAGAAGAGGCATGCACAGAGGAGCTCAACTCCTTACTCCCATCTTCCTTCTCTGTTCTTCTGATGTGCATATGCATTGCTCTGTAATGGGACTCCAATTAGATAAGACAGTAGGTAGAGATATGGCTTTTGCAGAGCACTAAGGTATCTGCTTGCCTTTCTCTTCCTTTATCCAACACACGCTCTTCAAATTTTGCCTTATGAGGAGAGCAACGGGTAGAAATTGCTGAGACTGGAGCTGGTAGGAAGCAGGGTGGCACTTTTCCTTCGTGTTTCAGATGGTTATTGCTCTTCCCTCTCTTAAGGAAGAGGTCAGAAATGAGAGAACTGACACGGTAAAGTGGCAGAGCCTTTATTTACCTTCCACTGCTTGTGCCTGGTCCACCACGGCACTGTGCAGATAGCAACACATACAGCAGCAGACCAAAGGGGCTCTTGAGAATCAGTTGTGTCGAGCCCCATAGCACAGTAGGTATGCAGTCCAAGTTCCTGCTTGTGCATTTAGCAACCTATCCACTTCTGCTACAGTGAAATGCTTCATCTGTTCTCCCTCTGAAGAAACAAGTAACAAATCCTGACCTGCACGTTACTGCAGCGTCTGGTATGAGTAAGTGACTTGATTTTTAGCAGGGTTTTTCTAATTTCTTCTGTGAATCTAAAACATGAGACCTATTTGTGTGTGTAGTGGGGACTTTTTTTAATGTGGTTGGGGTTTTTCTTAAGAAGTTTTATAACGGATGAAACTAATTTTTTTTTTTTTTTTTTTTTTGGTCAGGGATCCATACTAACTGATGCTTTCTGCCAAAGCTAGTGCTGTTTAGGTTTTACTCACTTCCAGCAGGAAGTATTTATACATTTTAATTAGATGCAGTCATTTTAGCACATCTTTCTACTATGAAAGCTTAAGAATTATAACTTTCCCATCTGGAACTGGAGGAGGAAGGGGAATTTCTCTATTTTAAGAAAGTAAATAGCCCTCAAGTAAGGATGATGGGGGGGGGGGGGGGGGGTTTGGGGGAGGGGGATGTTTCCCCCCTTTAACTGTAGGGAGTTGTTTGGGGAAGAGTTGACTTTAAATTCAGGTCTTGAATTTGACGAAAGGCTGTCTTGAGACTATGAATGTAGACTTTTGTCAAAGGCTGTATGTACTGGAACTGATGGTAGTTCCACAAGCATTGGAATTACTTACAAATATGCAAAAATGTTTTTATCTGAGGTGTCCTATTATTTCTGTCAGATTTCTGGCTAAATTGCTTTTGGTGAAAGCTTCAGCTATGTATGCAGAAGCTTCTTAAGTATATACCTTAAGCAGTAAGGTAGCTATCTTTTTTGACACTACCTTAAAACGACTGACTTGTATAAATAGGTCATGTTAACATCTAATTTTTAACAGTTGTGCAGGTTCAACATTCCAGATCCTCAGCACTGAGCATCCACCCTGAGATGTGGCAAAGTAGCTTGACAATAGCAGAATGCATGTGGCTACCATTAAAGGTTGAATGAGGCAGAAACTTTTATGCAGTGTTCTTTTGGCTTACTCTATGCAATCATTACAGTTAATCTAACTTAAATGCTTCCTAATGTTTGAAAAGGAGTAGGGAAGAACAGTTACTTACAAAGAATCCTCTGGCTCTGCTACTTGTGGCAAATAATTAGATGGACTACAGTGAGATTTTTTTTTTTGTTTTTAGACTCATTTGATATCCTCAGATTAGCTGTAGCTTTGATGCATGTTCTGTGTTCTTTGGTGTGTTCACATTTTGCTTTTCTAGTAACACTTATTCCTAACAAACTCTTTTTGTGAAATAATAGGAATTATATATTTTATTTAAAGATAATAGGAATTATATATTTTTATTTAAAGAAAACAATTTGGAGAGACTAAACTAATGCATTACTTCTCTGCCTTCTTTTAAGGGAACAAATCAGATTCACTGGACAAGCGCCAAGTCCTGTTTGAAGATGCCTGCACACTGGCAGAGAAGTATGGGCTCTTAGCTGTATTGGAGACATCAGCAAAAGAAGCCCAAAACATAGAAGAGGTGTTCCTGTTAATGGCTAAGGAGCTAATGGCTCGAAATACCTTACAGCTTCATGGAGAGAATCCTCCAAACAGCATTTATCTTGATTCCAGGCCAGTGATTGCCAGCTCAAGTGCAGAGAAGACCCAGTGCCTCTGCTGAAGAAAAGTTTTAGGAACAAGAACTTGGAAGCTGTCCTTCTTCTGAGGCTCTGTGATGTGGTTTTGTTCAAGTTATGCAAGTTTGCTATGTGGCCTCAAGCCATCTTTCTGATATCTCTACCTTGCAGTTTGACCTGTAAGTAGCTCTAGAGATCGGTGTTGCTGTTGTTAGCGCAGGTTGCTGTGAACATGGCAGCAGATACTTTAACATGGACTTCTGAGCTGAGAGGACTTCGGAAGCTGCCAGCCCTTGCCTTAACCAAAGAGGACTGTAAACATGGTGGCCTTATTATATCCCTGAATGGTTTTCTGGCTGTGCCAGAAGGTAAATTTGCACCAGAGCTGTGCATTGATTTGAGCTTTCTAAGATGCACAGTTTGTTTTAGTGCAAGCTCTTTAGTCTTTGCTAGCTTTAAAGTGTCTGACTATGAACAGTACTAACTATTGCTGCCTAAACTTCCATTTTCGGGGAGATCCTGCTGTCAGACATGTTACCACCCAATCCAAGGAATTTAATACCAACACTTGTTAGAGGGTACATGAATGTCACCTGTGTGTATTCCCTCCCCAGACAGCCTACAGCCATGCCCAGGGTTTCATAACAGGCAGAATATGATATGCTAGGGTACCAAAAACCCTCTTGCTGGGGTGAGGGGAGTTGTCTGTCTTTTTGTTCTCTAATCATAAGAATTGCCTTCAGTACTGATTTTTTTTTTTTTTTTTTTCTTGCTATGTAGACTTACTAAGAGTAGTGAAGCTTTCAAGTTAACACTAATGGCCTAAATTAATGGTGAGGTGGAAGGATTTTTTTTTTTCTTTTAAACCAGTCTTGTCTCCAGCTGATAGCAGCTTTTGACATACAGTTTTAATCAAAAGCTTTGTAGTTTGTATGATGGACCAATGGCAGCTTAGAGTATGCCCCCAAATACTTCGAGGGGGTGTAAAGGGGACTCATACTCCTGTAAAATATAGCCATGGTTAGGATGGTTTAGTAATTGTAACCTCATCTTAGAGGAGTAAGGGAACAGTTAAGGGAGAGCTTCCCCTAGAGAAGTACATACAGTATTGCTTTGGAAACTTAACCCAACTGAACATTTTGGTGTTAGTAGAAGGCTTTGTGTTGCTCCTCTCAAATGCAAGCTCTGCTATAGATGAGCTCACTACTCTTATGTACAAGCATTGCAGAAAGGTTCTTTCATTTTTTTCAGTAGATGGAAACAGGGAAGGAGAAAGAAATACTACATGGAGGAAGCTTTTTGACCACAGTCCCCATGTACCAGAGTGTATTACTTATGTTAAACTATGAACAGGAAATCATACTCTTTATTGATAAAATACAGTTGGGGTTATATGCAAGGAAGCCCTAGAAAGGCTAGTAAGCTGCCCGTTTACTAGTTGGCAATTTAATTTACCAGTTTCACATTCCTCAAAAGAGTGGGGGGGGAAAACATGTAGCAAAACTGTTTGGAAAATCTTGTCTGAGAAGCACAAAAAATAAAACAGACTGAATGATCACTGATTTATAGTCTCGCACATGATATTTGTAATATGTTATTAACACTTTCTCTGGCTAGGTTCTTTGCTATTAGATGCAAAGTGCAAATGTTAATTCAGCTACTTGTAAACCAAGGGAGAAATCTTCAGTGCTAGTTTCTTAAACCATTTGCTACAGTCTGCTGTGGAGAAAGCTTTATCTTCCTCAGGTATCCTCTTTCTGACTTATGTGCTTTTTTTTAATTAACGTTTCATCTTGCTTTTGTACTAGCCTAATAATTGAATGCAAATGGCATATTTAAGCAATGGTACACACAGTAACTTTTCAAAGTAACTGAACAAGTAACAATCCATCCTCCAAACCACTATTTGTTTCCCTAGTGACAAAAGGGATATAAATCAAATGTAGATTTAAGATTCCTATGCGTTTAAAAACAATCCCCCCCCTCTGCTGTCTTGTAAAAGTTGGGTTTTTTTTTAGTATCTATATTTACACTACAAGCAAATCTTGTTCCATTTCAGATGTTGTTTGCAGCAAATATTAATATTCCAAAAAACAAAATAAAGCATTGTGTACCTATTGTTACTTCTTTCACTAGCCGTGAAAGGATCTTGCCATCAGAGTGTTAACCTTTCTATGGTTCATTGGGTTTACTACCTTAATTAGAAGTTCCTATTCCAAGTTATTTGCTTGCCTTCAGCATGGAGGAGACTTCTGCAGGTCGATGTGCTGGAGAGTTATCAGAACAGCCAGGTTGCAAGAGCTCTTGCCATTCTTTTCCAGCACACATGGAGCTACTGGCTGAGGGAGCCCTTCTTCCACAGAAAGCTGTGCAACACTGGATCAGAGAGAACAGGCTTGCAGTTGTGCTTTGTTCAGCACCACACTGTTTCCTTTGGACAAGTTTAACAGGCTCTGTATTACTTTTTCAAGAAAGTAGTTTTAAATATCTGCCCTCACATTTACCTTACAAGAGTAACTTTTGCCACTCTGCCTTTCTCCATTGCAGAGCAGATGGACATACGCTATGCCAATGCAAGTTAACTAAAAGACACGTTAACTGCTATGGAACCTTATAGTAACATGTTTGCTTCCCCCTAGCATTATGTGCAAACCCAGTCAACAGAGGCAGTGCTGCGTGCCTTCTGCATCCTTGAGTTGCAGCTATGTGCTTCACAGCTAGGAAACAAAAGCTGATGACGTTTAATAATCATTCCAATTCATGTTTAAGTATAGTTGGAGACCAAGAAGGCAACTTTGAGACTGCATGCACTAGCTTAACATCCAGATATTCTTTTCCCCTCTGAGGCTAAGCAGGAATTACCCCATACAGTGCTAGAGGTGAACTCTATCTTAGAGCTTTTTTACACATCTCCTTTGTCCTGAATCAGTGCTGTTTTAGTCAGTGAACTGAAGCTAAATCTTCCTCCAGCTAGGCAAGTGCTCTAACCACAGCAGTGTTCAGTGAGAAGGGCTGCCCCCCACCTGTGGTAGTGTACAGAGGAGGGCTGCCTCTAGGCATGAGGCTCAGACTTTTATATATCCCAATCTCCAGAAAAACATTTTAAGCACCTCTTTCCCCTTGCCTGGCTTTACACACATCACCGCTTGCCGACTCCTAGAGCTGTTTTTAAGCACCCAACTCTCCCTACAAAGTGGGTAGGGGCTAGAACTACAGCAGACAATGCTGGGCTGAGTCTATTGGGAGCTGTTCAAGAAAGAGGACTTAAGTCCAAGGGGCTTCTGGCTATCTTAAGAGTGTTTCAACTTTTAATAGGAACTTGCACACTTAATATTTTTACCTTGTTAGTTTGACACAAGAAAACTTTTTAGAAGAAGGGCACTAAAAGTGTCTCCTTTTTTAAAACTGACCTTAACTAAGCTAGCTGTACAGGGCCCTGTTTAGGCTATCACATCAAGCCATTATCAAGAGGGTGTTGACTCTGGCTTGACTACAAATGAAAAATAGCATACCTATGGATAACAAACAGCAACAGCAGCAAGTAGAGGGAGAATTCTAGCATATTTGCACCGCTTCGCACATTTCCTTGGCCACAGCAGCATTTATGAACAGCACTGCTTATTACAGTTTGTAATCGTTGCCAAAGCTGATTAATTTTGCTTACCTGAAGTGAGGCTCATCACAACCATACATAGTTTAAAAAAAAAAAGAAAAAAAAAGCAGCTTTCCAAACATTAGCACAGATGAAAACTGACTTCAGAGCTCTTTGGTTGCAACTTGATCCATACAGCACAGTCCTGTATCATGCCTCAACCTAAAGAACTACTTGTAGATTCCCCCTTGTTTTAAGCTGCTGCAGAATAACTCCACCTATGCAAGTTTTATTCTGGAAGTGAGACACCCTTCACCCTCAAGGTATGGCTTACAAACATGCACCTAATTTTGTACCTTCTGTAAAAGGAAAGAGTTACTATATAATTCATTAAAGGAGCCAGGCATACCATCAGCAAGATTACAATACACATTGTGTTAGAGTCAGGAAATAGCTGTGCTGCCAGAAGTTGTACCGAAGCAGAGGCCAAGCTGAACTAAACCAATAGTGGCTATAAGATGTACTCTTTGGTTGTATCATCACATTCAGGCCAACTAGAATGAGCAGCAGGTACTTACTGTGCACTTACCGCATGATACAGAATTTCAAATCAACTGCAGCAAACCATAACCATATATTCTTACATAGGGAGTAAAGTAAAGGCACTTCAAATGACTGCATGTGTCTTCAGAAAAACTATTTTTGTTTTGAAATCAGTATTTTGTTGGTGGAAGTTTATGGAGTCTTTATACCTTCTTTATTATGACACTACCATGAACACACTCATTGGCCTCTTTAGTTTCTGTATCTTAGGTATTTAAAGTGCAGTACAGGCTAAGTTGTCACCCTCCATGTTTTTACATTAAAAGTTTTAGTTCCACTGAATTTATTCCTTTTCTTCCAGAGAAAAAACACACAGCAGCCTACTATTACACTTTATTCATTTCAAAGTCTACTTTTTTCAGTCATTCCACTGTTTTGACAAAAATCTTAGTGCGACAGCAAGCTTATGAATAGGCCTACAGACAGCTAGATTCAAATAGAAAGGCTATAAAATGACATACAGCAGTACTGCTTGAAGACAGATGCAGTTCTTTAAGTTAGAGAACAAAAATGACAGCATGCTTCACAGCAAAGAAGATTGACAGTAACTACTCACCACGATATATACATTGGTCAGCTTGTGGGTAGACAGAACAACCTCCACAGCAAATCAGTTACTCAAGCCTTCTCAACTTCCCCTCTAATGCACACGGAAACACAGTTTAGAAGCAGCAGCATTCAGTGTTGTGCCACAAAAAACACTATTTCTAATCTATTACAAAGGAAATCTGATCCGTGATGTATTATGGCTGGCAAGCCTATTACCTTTCTCCTCCTTGTAAGAGCACATCCGGGCTGAACTATACAGGTAGACATTTGAACACAGCTTTTCATTAAAATGTTAGCAAGTTATGTTCACTGCATAGGAGAGGAAAGACTAGTTCTACCTTGTAGCCTCCAGTTCTTGCTCCCCATCTCTCTTTTAATGGCATTTGTGCAAATTAAGCTCAAATCCTTCTCTCCTGCTACTTTCTTCTGCAAAAACATAATCAAAACCCCAATAGACTGAAGCTGGTCTTAAAACTGTTCAGCTAACTTGTCTGCAGTCATTTTCCTCAGCAGGTCTGAATGTATTTCCAGTAATTTACTTCCATCCTCATGTATTTCCCCAGAAGAATGCTTCTTTCTGAACACACACAGGCTCAAAGGGTGTGGATTACCAGGATACAGCCTGTAACAATGCTTGGACTTGCTGTCCAACCAGCATTTCAACAGGAAACGATCACCCCATAAAAATCAATAGAACGTGTACTGCAGTTTATTTTGTCCAGGATAAAATACCATACTTCAGAACTTGTTTCCAAGAAAGCAAGCTACTCCATTCCCACTAGCAACCTTAGACTCTTCCAGAGTTTGATAGTCTCAGTTGTCTGTTCAGGATGTGTTACATTAGAGGCTCTTCGTTGGAAAGAGGTCATAACCAAGTTAAAATTCCACGTTAGTGTGACATGATTATGCACAAATGAAGAATAACAGAGAGAAACACTTTTATATTATGGAAATAAAAAAAAAAAACAAGCTGAAATGTAGGAGCTTCAAACTTAAAAGAATAAACAGACTTCTTGTTTAATTTTTTTGATTTTTTTTATTTGGGAAAAGTGCTTCTTACAAAAGGCAGCTGCAAAACAATACATCATAGACCTCGGAACAATTGCTCATTCCATTTAAAAGTGAAAGGAGAGGCAGTCTAGGGGACAAGAGCAGCAGGAGAACAGATCATGGGGCATCCACGAGTCAATAAAAAACAGTACTAACGTAACGCAAGGTTAAAATTCCTGTGCTGCAGCTTTGGTGGCAAAATAAGTTCTTCTCAATGCAATTACAGCCAGAAACTGCATGACTGACTTTGTAAGCAGTAACTCACATAAGCTCAACAGCTTTACCAGGCAACCTGCCCAACTCAGATGTTGAGAAGCATGTGTACTTTGAACCAGCTGAGAGGCACAGTGATTTCCTAGCGAAGCCCATAGCTTAAGTGGCTACCTGAAGTTCTAAGACTTACAGAGCAATACAGTTCAGGGGCCTCTCTGGTGTTCCTCAGGATCACAGTGTGCACTGACCCACTTTGGCTAACCGAATTTCTGCTCCTGGACAACCCTAATAATATGCGTGAAAGAGAGCTGGTTTATTAGGGAGTGCCATCTTTTAAGTTACACCTGACAGTTAAGATCATTGCCACAGAACGGGCTGAGATCACTAAACCAGTTTCATGTCCAATTGGAGGCTAGGCTTCATGCACCAAGAGGGGATGAAAGGTGGTTTTGTTATTTTTAACTTATACAGAGTCTCCCTACTCTTGAGGTCCAACTCTACATTTATCTGTATATACACATAGAAAGTTCTCCTTTCACAAAGACATTTTCCTTTCATGCTAAACACAGTAAAAACCCGGAACATTCACACCTGGTTCTGGTTACACAGTAGTAATAGTAATGTGCAAGTAAACAAGAGACCAAAATCACAAATGAAGACGTGTACATGAGGGGGCTGGAACGGAGCTGATGCCAGAGAAAGTATGTGTGTCTGGCCTGAAGTCAGAAATATCGATACAAAGTCCATTGCAGGAAAAAGGCCATCAGCCAATTTACATCCCCACTGCATGGCCACTGCTCATTTTTGTATCCGGGCTCTTCAAAATGAGTGTGGAAGTCCTGTAAACACTTTAACCCTTGAACTGGGCAAACTCTGCTGGGTACACAGATGAAGCAACAAACCTAAGCTAACTGTCTGACAGTTAAATTCCTTTTTACAAAAACTAACATTTTAAAGATTTATTTCTTGTTATTTGTTTAAACAGAGAAAAACAACACTCCTAGGGCGGG